TGTGATGGCCAACTAAGCTGAACACTAGAATCCTATTATCGATGGCGAAGCTGCAGAGATTTGGACCATTCAAGATGTGGTTCATGAGTTGTGAGCCCTTAATCGAAATCAGCAAGAGATGCAAGACGAGATACATAGCATGATGGATACCATGTGTGGGCGTATTGAGGCACTTGAGGCTGGACGTGGTAGCGCTCTAAGTAAGCCTCCTTTGGTAGATCGACCCAAGATTCTAACCTTTTCCAGTGATGGTGGTGTGGACGAGTGTCTTGCTTGGCTAGCCAATATGAAGAAGTTCTTGGCTACTAGGGGAACTCCAGATGCAAATACTCGGTTGACGATGGAGGTATTTGGGCTTTATCTTCATGAGTTTGTGGAGAGTTTCTTGGATGATATTTTTATTTTCAACAAGAATATAGAGGAGCATAAAATGCATTTACACAAGGTTTTTTTGTTACTCTGAAACAATAAACTTTATGTGAAGAAGAGCAAATATGAGTTTGCAAAGTTGGAGATGGTAGGCCATATTGTGACATCTAAGGGTGTCAAGATGGATCCAAGGAAGGTGGTTGTGGTGGAAAATTGGCCTACACCAAATATAGTGGTTGAGTTGTGTAGTTTTCTTGGTATGGCTAGTTACTACCGATGTTTCCAGCATAAGTTTCCAGAGGTGGCTATTCCTTTGACACGGTTGTTACGCAAAAATGTGTCATTCGAGTGGAAGATACCACATGATTGTTGAGTGAGACTCCAGTGCTTCACATTGCTGATCCATTGAAACCTTACGAGGTGACATGCAATACGAGTGGTTATGCACTAGGAGGAGTTCTCATGCAAGAGGGACAGCCTATTGCATATGAAAGTCAAACTTTGAATTCCGCGGAGTAATGCTATTCCACATATGAGTAAGAGTTACTCTTTATTGTTCATGCTTTGTGGACGTGGCAACACTATCTTTATGGTGTAGTGTTTGTGGTGTTAACAGATCACAAACCACTTGTGTATCTTTTCACACATAAGGAGTTGAACACTACGCAAGCTTGTTGGATAGTCAAACTCATGGAGTTTAGGGAGTTTCCTATTGAGCATCGTCCGGGAAAATCAAATGTGGTGGTAAATGCTTTATCTCGTGTTCGTCATGTGACAATGTTATAAACCATTTTGTTATTATTTGAGTAAGGTGGTCAGCAAGTTTGGGCAGTTGGTTGAGTGTGCTCAGGCTCAGGATGCTGAGGTGGCCTCTTTGTGAGACCAGATGGAAGCCCCTTTCTCATTGGTGGATGGGATTATCTACTACAATGGCTATGTATATTTGCTACAGGTGGATGCGTTAATTACTCAAGTTTTATTCCACTATCATGATCGTCAAGATGCTGGTCATTTTGGGGGGAAGAAGATGCATGAGTTGATTAAGCACAATTTTTATTAGAGGAATGAAACTCTTTAATGGAGATCATCCTCAGACAGATGGGCAAACCAAGCGTGTGAATCAGATGGAGGATATGTTATGTTGTAACATTGGTCAAAGGCAAGGACAGTAAGATCTATATCTTCCGTTCATGCAATTTTCTTACAACAATACAAGCTAAGTCCTTACTTTGCCATGTTTGGAAGGCATCCTTGAACAACAGTGGAGTTGGGATTGCATTTGAGTAAGGATGTTCAAGATAAGTTTGATTCTGAGGTGACTAATCTGGCCACAGAACTTGATAAGATTCTAGTGGTGTGCAAATGGAATTTACAGGTAGCTCAGGATAGAGTGGAGAAGTTTGCTAATGAGCATCGCCAATTCCAGGAATATAAGGTGGGTGATCTCATCTTCGTGCAAATGATCTTTCCGTCAAGTGAGTGCAAAACACCTTAGTGCCTTTATGGACGTGATAAACTTTCCCATCGATATGCTAGTTCATATGAAGTGCTAGAGTGCATTGGTAAAGTAACTTATTGTGTGCAGCTACCAACTAGGGTGAAAATTCATCCAATATTTTATGTTAGCCAGTTGAAAGGTGTTCTATCTTGGAGTGACTGGCCCAATGCCTCCTTGATGTATACGGTTGTGGAAGATGGACTAGAAGCTTGAGCAGGGTTCCTCAGAAAGGGTGATCACCGGTACAACTTGTCCTTGGGACAAGGACTTTGTTGGGGGGTGTGAGACATAAAATCCCTAGGCCCCAAAGTAGAGCTGAAAGGGTGCCACGTGGTAGTGGCCGAAGCAAAAATCAAACGAGTGTAACACGTTTGGACTAAAAGCTCCGACTTGAAAGGTCGAGAGCAGGAATGGAACTCCCAACAAAGTGCTCGAGGAATGAGCATGAAGCGAGCAATAAGCGAGGCTCTAAAAAGGGACCCAAAAGGACCAACACATGACACGTGGAAGTGTCCAAGATGGACCCAAGATGGAGTTCGAGATAGAGTCCGAAATGGATCCAAGATGGAGTCTGAGATAGACCCAAGATGGAGTCTGAGGTGGAGTCCGAGATGGACCCGAGAAGGACCTGAAATGGAGTCCGAAATGGACCCGAGATGGAGTTTGAGATAGAGTCCGAGATGGACCTGAGATGGAGTCTGAGATGGACCCAAGATGGAGTCCGAGATGGAGTCCGAGATGGACCCGAGATGGAGTTCAAGATGGACCCCAAATGGAGTCTGAGATGGACCGAGACAGAGTCTGAGATGGAGTTCGAGATGGACCCGAGATGGAATCCGAGGTCGAGACCGAGACTAGGACCGAGACCGGGACCGAGACCGAGACCAAGACCGAGATTGGGACCGAGACCGAGACCGAGCCCGAGCCCGAGCCCGAGTCTGATTTCGAGTTCGAGTCCGAGTTTGAGTCCGAGTTCGAGTCCGAGTTCGAGTCTGAGAGGGTGAAAGCCCAAAGCGTTTGTCTCCCAGACCCTGGGGGGTTTGATGAGCTCCAAAAGTATAGTAAGGGGGAGGACTGCAATGGAGCCAGTTTGGCCAGGAAAGGCCAGTTTGGCCCAAGAAGGCTGTACCCAGTGTTGGGTGATGAGTTGCCCATTGAGAAGTCCAAGACTAGAGTGAATACAAATCGACAAATGGGGTTGCTTGGTGAAGTGTTCAAGAGCCGCCTCTAATTTCCCCGGAAGATCGACTGGCCGATGCTCCCAGTCCAAGTGTGGGTGGCACTACCTACTTGGATACCAAGCGTGGCTCAATGGAACCTCGCTCTAAGCCCATGCCTAGAGCACCCAAAGGCAGAAGGCGGGGAGAGTACCCACGAGGCCCGTATAGGGCCACGGTGTTCCGAAATGTTGTCCCAAAATCCTAGACTATGAAAAGGAAGAGGAGTAACCCTCTGGTGTGGTGACCAAGGACATAGTCAGATGGTGAGGAAGTCCTAGAGGACCGTGGGACTTAATGGTCGGGCCTGTGGGCCTCGATCCAGTGGCAGTGTTGGCAAACACGGCTATGGACAGAAAGAAACTTGGTAGGGACCGGAAAAAGGATATTGGGGAAGGCTATTCCCCATGTCTATGGACATCCTAAGGATGCTAAGGAGTGGATCTGGGATGATCACTTGTGGAAAGGGGCATGGCCTTAGCGTAACAGGCTGATATGTTGATGGTACCTTGGGGTGTCGGTCATGGGATCGGACACGTGGAGCACTTGGACCAAATGCAATGGTTGAGTGGTATGGATATCATTCTTGGGGCTAGCAAGTCCCTAAGTCCAGAATAGAACTTACAGAGGTTGTGAGTAAGACTCCTTCAAGTGGTCGAAGGTGTGGTTAAGTGATTAAAGTAAAATGGAAAATTTAGTCGCTTACAGGGGGAAGAATTGTTAGGCACCAGCTTTGACCACATGGTCAACATCAATCAAAGGGAGGCTCAATGGTATATTAAGGCATGTTAGGGTAAGGGACTTAACCTACCTTAGGGCTCACAGTGGAGCAGCGGTGCAGTGGAGCTTTTAAGGTAGCTTGGGGGTGGTTGGGTGGTGAGGAACCTCAAGAGGTGGTATAGCATAGTCTAGGGTAGTTAGATCTTTGTCTCTTTGCACCTCTCCATCTTTAGTGCTAGGTGGCCATTGACCACCACAAATATCTTCGTGCCACAAAGATCCCACAAAGATCTTTATTGCTGCCTCTCTATTGATGATTGCCTTTTCTTAGTGAGGAAGAAAAACTTGTCTGAAGAAACTCCCAGTGATTGTCAAGCTCCCCACTTGCATTCCCAAACCCTGAATCCCTAAGCTGTATTTTAAGCACATAGCCTCCTCCTCCACATGGCTCTAATGCCATTGCCAGCCTTGCCACTCATGATCCCCTCTCCTTGTCACTACTGGTCACTAGCAAGCTTGCTTCTCCACAAAACCTAGAGCTCATGGGCATCCACCTCTACTGCTGGGTGGTGCCTCCTCTCCCACTTCCCTTGGAAACTTTGCAGCTGGGAAGAGCTGCGGTAAAAGGAGAGTTTTTTTTTCCCTCCTGGGCTATGCAAACAGAGATATGTCACTCACCCCTCCTCCCTTGCCCCAGGCCATGCCGCACACCCACTGGCCAGCCTAAACCTCGCAAAAATGTTTCAGAAGGACATGCAGTAAGAAACTGATATTTACCAGGTTACTCTGCATCCAATGGTGCCAATTCGCCAAATCTAGGAGCCCACAAAGTTTGGCAATTGCTCCTTATAGTAGTAGGTTAATTATTATTTTATTTCGATTTTGTCCTTTATTATTATATTACTATTTGATGTTTTAAAATATTAGTCCTCAACTAGCTTTCATACATGGCAAATGCAATCTAGAAACTCTTATTAGAAGGACATTATAAAACATACTCAAGGCATTTAAATATATTTAAAATTGCAAACAAGCAAAATTAATCTAAAATAAGTTTGAAGAAACTATTTTCATAGCAGATATGCTAATCTATCAAACAAATCAAAACGTAGGTATTTCTAGCAATGTTTAACAAAGTAAGTATTTTAAATAAAAGTCAATAAAAATATTTAAAATATATAATCAGATGAGCCACCTTAATACTTGTCAGGAGCTATGCCTCTATTCAAGCTATTGGAGAGCAATACATAAGACACGCCTTGAGATGGATCTATCTTCGAGATGTGCTGTGCCGCTCGCCATGCCCTTCCCAAATCCTTGTGCGTCTCAGACGCACTGAGAAGACTCGACCAGGTTGCAACATCGGGCAAGAAAGGCATTGCATGGAGAAGCTCCTCGGCCTCATGCAAGCAATTTGATCGCCCAAGAACATCAACAATGCACGAGAAGTGCTCCACCCATGGCACAAGATTGTAATCTGCCACCATGGATTGGAAGCACCACTGCGAGATTTCAACCAGGCCCGAGTGGCTACACCCGTTGAGAATGGAGATGAACGCGTTCTCATCGCACTTGATCCCCTCCACCGCCATAGCCGCGAGCGTTTGCATCGCCTCGCAGCAATGCCCAGCGTGGGCATATGCCGCGAGCATCACAGTCCATGCCACAGCATCGCGATTAGACATGCCATCAAAAATATATTTCGATAGCTCTACTTCGCCTGCATGTGCGTAGCATGAGAGCATAGCAGTAAGCGCTACTATATCAATCTCTGGCATCCTCAAAAAGAGATCTTTCGAACTTTCTAAATGCCCGCAATCGGCAAATGCTACAAGAAGTGAAGTTAGACACTTGAGTGTGTGTTGAGGCATTTTGTTCAGCGTCTCAATGCTTTTCTCCATTAGCCCTAAATCGAAATAGCAGTTGACGAGTCCCGTCCACGTCACAATATCTCTTTGTTTCATTCCATCAAACGCAGCCTTTGCTGCACCAACTTGCCCGTTGTACGCAAATGCCACGATCATAGCATTCCACGTCACCACATTTCGCTGCGGAATCCTGGAGAAAATCTCCACCGCTTGCTCCTGCTGTCCATTCTGGGAGAATGCTAGAATCATGGCCGTCCATGAGAAGACAGTCCTTTCCGGCATCCCATGGAACATGACCCTCGCCTCTTCCAGATTCCCTACCAGAATGAGTCCGGCTATGGCGGCATTCCACGACGGGGAATCCCAGCCGGGCATTCGATGGAAGACGTCCGTAGCGGCTTTGATCTGGTCCGTCGATCCCGCCATCCCAGCCAAGATCGACGTCCAGGAAACAAGGTCGCGTTCCGGCATGGAATCAAACAGGCTCTTGGCTTGGAAAAGATGCCCAGATTGGGCATATGCCGTAACGATGCTCGACCAAGATCGGACGGTCGTGCTGGGCATTTTTATGAAAATGTTGGCTGCCTCATCACAGAATCCATGCTGTGTGTACGTGGCGCTCAGGGCATTCCATGAAATCTCGTTTCTCTGTGGCATTTCAATGAAGAGTTTTCGAGCTTCCTGGAGATACCCATTGTGGGTATAAGCCGTGAGGAGGGTGTTCCACGCGTAGAGATTTGGAAATGGGAGGGTGGCGAAAACTTCCTGGGCGTCGCAGACGCTGCCACACTTTCCATACATATCTATGATCCCGCACGCTAGAAAACTGTTGGTTTTGAGATCGCTGGCTGCGAGAATTTGGGAGTGGACTCTTTTGCCAGTGGGAAGATCTCGAGCTTTGGTGACGCGTTTTAGCAAATCTGAATAGAAATCCACGTGTGGATTTCGTCCCATGGATCCCTACCAATAGACCCATCACACTTGAAAATAACTATGAAGTCTGGAGTAAATTATCATAAAACCAAACTTTGCAATTTAAAAGCCTCCTCGTTTCTGGAGGTAAATCCTCACAACATTCCTTGGCGTCTTGGGCTTGTTTTTAATCGCACCTTTGACAGCCTGCACAAAACTTATGTTTTATCTCCAAGATATTTTTTTTCTTTTTGGTAGCTTACCACTTGCATCAACTTTTCAAATGTGTCCTGACCATTGTTCTCGATGAATTTTATTGCAGCTTCTTGGGTTCTTGGCTTCATCATGTCCAGTGTGGCTTGCTCCAAATTCTCCCATCTCACTTCATCCTTGAGCTCTTCGCCTAAACGATTTCTTCCACAAATGTGTTTGAGATAAATGAATCTTGCGCCTTGGAAAGGAGGGAACAATAGCCAGCAACAAGCTACAAACTTTATCATTTCTAGCAATGGGACTGGCAACCTTGGAAAATAAAAATTCAAAAGATAAACGAAAAGTTATAAATGCTAGCTTAGCTTGCTCGTACCAGGGAAAGTTTAGAGTGAGCACTGTTTGCACAAAACTTAGAGATGAGTACAAGGACCAATACGTGAGCCATGGATGATCGTCTTCTTGGAAAGGGCTCTCAAGTGCTTGAAGAGAAGCATACCTGAATGCATCAAAGCAATCACTCAAAGCAATGTTTTTGAGAGGATTCGTTCAACTTACGCAGGATAAACTAGAGTGATGGAGGGCCTGATCTTGACAAGAAAGTTAGATAAGCTATATGTGCACCAGATTTGGAATACCTGACTAGTGGTTGAAGTTGTGTCAAGAACATTCCAATGAAGCTCATGATCTTGGTTGTGCTGGCTCTCCTCCTGCAACACATCGCTTTGCTCAACAAGACACTGAAAGGTTGAAAGAAGTGAATTGGATAGCATCTTGCGTCTGGACAATAACTTAGCTTCAAAGTACCAAGGAGTGCTATTTGTGTTTGGTATTATTAATAATATTAAGTATTATATTATTTGGTTTCACTTTAGCGATAGGTGTGAGAGAAGAACTCTTCCAGAAACAGTGACACTCCACCTGCTTGTTGCGTTGCTGTTTTGGGTGGCCAGCCAAAAATAGTTTTACAAAATCAGGGAATATTTAGAAGGCTAGAAAGGGAAGCAATTAATTCCTGCCAAAGGGCATCTCACTTCAGCGACACTTCTAAACATTTGCAAAATCATCAGAGATATCTTCTCACTTCTATGTTAGTTGAGAGATGATTGATTGAGGCCTTTGGCTTGTGAAGAGAAAAATAAAATAAACATTCTGGCTTCCATGTGCATCATGTTCAGCTTGCCAGGAGGTACTTTAGTTACACCTACTGGAGGAAAAAAAGAGAAGGAATATCTTATAATAGTGTGCAATATCTATGGTTTTTGTTGAGTTGTTCCTTTCCTCCATGATCCATTTCTAACGAATCTTTTCTTAAAAACACTATTACAGAAGAATAATATCGATAAATTAATTCCATTGCATATCTTCCAAGTCACACCATAAAAAAAAGACTGTTTTTTTTTCTTAAGGCTGTAGAATGGCAGGCTCACACCAAGAAATGGATCCCACGCAAACCCTGCACTTGCCAATCCCAGAAAGCATCATACAAAGTGTTTCCTTCACGCTCAAAAAATTGTCATGCTGGTTTTGGATTGAAATTCTTTTGGAGTGACTAATTAGGATAACTTCTGCCAATTGCCACATGCATCCCTGTCATGGAAGTCTTGATCCCTTCAGCCTAAACATCAGAAAGAATAAATGTAGGCTAGATAGAAACTTTAAGAAAGAAAAGCAAAGAAGGATTTCCATCCAAGCATGGCTATTCCAGTTATTTAAGCTACACATTCACACGCACCTAGGTATTGAGCAAGAAGTTTTCTTTCTAGCAGCTTACTAGCATTGATCTGTTCTCTGGTTGTTTTGGAAAGGTTTCTTTCTTCCAAGTTTTTCTCCTCCAATGGCTCAGCAGAAGAGGCCTGCGCTCTGGAGAACACAGCCCAAAGTGATCACGTCTCAAAGAACAGCTTCTTTTTCTTCTTCTTCTTCTTCTCCAGCTCTCAAAAGGCCTCCGATGCTACTGCTCAAAAAGTCCGACCACATCTCGTCCGAGAACATCGTTCCCAAAAGTCCGGAGCAGGATCAAGCCGGAGGATCATTGTTCAATAAAATCAAGAGCTCGCCCAAGAAGAAGAAGGCCAAGAAACTCTCGCCCACGAGTCCAACCATCAGTATCCTCGTCGAGAGGCAGCATTTCGTGGATAGAGCTCCTTCTTTGCGGGAATTGCAAGCACAAAGAAAGGCAAAGATATCACACTATGGTCGACGTATCGGCTCCGCCAAGTCCGTTCCGGAAAAGCCCCTCTTCTCTCCACCGCCAGCTTCGAAGAAGAGATGTGGATGGATCACTCCACAGAGCGGTACGAATCTCTCAAAGAATATTTTCCTCCCAAGTAACAAGTTTCTTTTGTGTGAAGATCCAGTCAATGTTGCTTACCATGACCATGAATGGGGAGTTCCTGTTCATAATGACAAGTAAGAACCATTTTTATTTCTATTTTTTTAAATGTGACTTATTTAAATTGCTTCCAGGCTGCTGTTTGAGCTGCTCACACTTGCTAGTGCACAATCTGAGCTTAGTTGGTCTGGTATATTGGCAAAACGTGATCTCTACAGGTAGAAATCAAACTATAAGTTAATATTGTATTTCAGTATTAAATTTGATCTATTCTTTGTAGAACTGCATTCTCCGGGTTTGATCCATCAATCCTTTCAACTTACGATGCAGCACGGATAGCAGAAACCCGATCAAGTGTTGACATTCTCCAGCAAGATGGCAAAGTGGAGAGTGTGATTGAGAATGCAAGGAGGGTTCTCCAAATCTCCCATGAGTTTGGCAGCTTTGATCAATACATATGGAGCTTTGTAAACAACAAGCCAATTGTAACAAGTTTTCGGATGTCGTCCCAAGTTCCCATCAAGAGCTCAAGGTCAGAGGTAATGAGCAAAGATTTAATCCAGAAAGGATTCCGAGGTGTGGCTCCAGCGATTATCTACTCTTTCATGCAAGCATCTGGGCTGACAAATGATCATATTGTGCATTGCTTTCGCCACAAAGAAGTTCATTCACACCACTCCAACTCAATGCTACACTCAATTTGACCTTTAAGAAAGTCTTTAACTTAATATTGACATGTTGGGTATGTAAGATTTTCTAGTATATAGAATATTGTATATTATATAAAACAAATGTGAATCATATAATGATTTGGCTAGTATTTTCAGCTGTTATAATCACTTTTTAGAAAAAAAAATCTTTAAATGAATTCAGCTTGTTATTCTCAAGCCATATGACCTTTTGATGATGAGGGAGCATTCTTTTTTCACTTTGCATTTTAAAAATCCACCTTTAAAACATATTTTAATTCTTGTCATATAATTGGATAAGGGATTTTTATCTTGTGAATGTATTATTTATATTATATAAGGGTATTATGGATTAAAAATATTTGAACATAATTAAGCAGCAATGTGATTTGCTAGTCTTTTTAATACTATTTTATTATAAATTACATCATTTAGAATGCCATGTCAGTGTAAGTTTGTTTTTTTTTTTGACAACAGATTTAGTCACAATAATGCATTTAATTAGAGTGTACTTAATTAGAAAGGAACATAATCTTTGTGCAAATCTTAAACCTCATAACCTTGTAGCTTAGTTATGTTCCTTTAATTAAGCAAGGAGCACTTAGATATATCACATACCATAAGATTGCCTAAGTGATTTATCTTAAACCAATAGAAGAATGCTTGTCAAATATTAATCTTAATACTTATATATCAACAACTTATAGTTTTATGAAGACAAACTCAACTCCATTAATAATATAAGACCATAAAAATTTATATAGTGAAACACTAACATAACTATACACCCTTGTGATATGTGCATATCAGAAAGACAATTATAAATGATAAACATTTGCAAAAATGTGATATATCCCCAACTAAGTTAAAAACATGGAATGCCTTAACCATAAATGCAAAACTATTATACAAGAGAATCATCTTTAGACAAAAATGCTAGAATACCATTTGATTAAGGACAAAATATTCAATAGCAATTGCAAACACACTAACTTCCATCTAATGAATTAGATAGTTGGAAGAAATATTGACATACTCATTCCCAGCAATTGACCAAAAAAAAGGCCTCATTAAATTGAATGTCATTAAGTTAAATAAATAAAAAATTGCAATTAACTCCAACTATCCTTTTATAGCATGAAAAGGATTATTATAAGTTTGGCACCACATATAGCTACACACATACTATATAATATTTTATCATATCTCCAGCTAATAGAAAAACCTTTTTAATAGAAGAACTTCTCAATCACACAATAATGTATATATATTTGTCTAAAATAGAAGAGCTATGGTAAGTGTGGAAGAAACACGAAATGAAGACTAAAGGCACCACTAATTGCAAATAATCATCTGGATTAGTCTTTACAAAATAAAGAAAGTTGTCCTAAAATATTATATAAAATATAAATGCCAAAATGACAAATCACTAGCAAGTGATAAAAAATTTTTAAAGCCCTCACAAAACTTTTAGATCCATGGGTTAACCCTTTGGCTTCCTAAACATCATCCAAAGGAAATAAATCCAATGTGAATATTAAATATTGAGCATAACAACTACTATAGACTCATCTAAAAAATGAGCTCTTCAGGAATAAAAGAAGAGAGATGAGGGAAAGAAATTTGAAATAAAGCATCAACATCAACTATTGAACTTCCAAGGTAATGAACAACTTTAAAATTGTAAATTTAAAACTTTAATGCCCACCGAACAATATAGTTAATTAAGTTTTTTTATTTCAATAATGAAGGACTACAGTATGATTGCCCTTTAATAGAGTTTGAAAATGATGGGAGTATATATGAAACTTTTAAAACCTCAAACTGCTACTAAATACTCATTCTCTATTATGGAGTAGTTCATCTCAATTGGCTATAAAGTGCTATTGATATATATTATGGGATAACACTAGTTAAGGATGCTTATACTCTCTTGCATTAATATGCTCTTGAGATTGATATCATAAGCATCTATGAGGAAGGTAAATGGTTGAGTGTTAAGGTATGTTAAAACTTAAGAAGTTGTTAACACTTTGTTAAGATTTACAAATGCCTACACACAATTCTCAGATTTTCTTTTTTGTTATGGGCAACTTCAACAATACTCATAATAGTGTAGTTTGATTAGAAATATGATCAATAAAATTTATAAAATATTGCACCTTGTTAAGGATGTGTTGCATATTGTTCATGCACGTCAATGTAAAAAACTTTAGAACAGCCATAAATTTGTCAAAATTAACTTAAAAACCTTTATAAAAAATGCAATACCCAAGATAATTGGTATGCTTAGTGTAAGCAACAAAAAAAAATTACTTGAAAGATATAAAGAAAAAGAGCTAATAAATAAATAAACCTATTTTTTCAATTGGTTAAAGGGTTGAGTAATATTAAATTGGGTGACTTCTTGAGAAGCCCAATTTGGTTTTAGATGTGTCTCAGATTTGAATCACACCATATAATGAGCCATTCAAACTAAATGTCATTATTAAGATACAGAATAATAATAATAATACTAATAATAGTATAGTTTAAGGAATATCCTATGTAGGATCCAAACTTATTGAACAAACAACTTTGTCCTAGATGATCTCAGAGATAGTGTGAGGAAGAGGGGATATATCCAAGATACTCACTTATTAAGTTTTGTCACAAGATGAGGTTCACATACTTAAGAACCTTGAGATTTTCATATATGACCTTTCTTTAACATTTCCTTAATATTTTT